TAAAAGGATATTCGTAATGTAACTATCACAATGTGCACGGCCAACTAATTACTATTATTATTATTATTATTACTATTATTAATATGTTATAAAATAATGGTCCAACTTACCCAAAAGTAATGTTAAAAAAATCATAATGAATCATAATAATGGTAATGTAATTGTCACGCATCAGGGAGATTCAGACTTCATTTCCCAGCATGCATGCAGAGATTACGTGCCAAAACAACTTCCTTCGGACTCGGAAACTGAAACGGACTCCATTGCCCACAATCCTTCAGGAGATCACATGACATCAGACAATCGCACACGCACCTATCAGCGCTCCCGATTACCAGAATACTAATGTTGTGCACCTGTGTATTCTGTCATATGACCGTATTAGTTCAGTATATAAGCCCGGGCTTTAGATGTAGACATTGCGAGGTATTGTTTATTCCAAAAACTTACTGAGCGTTATATTCTGATTGTCTTTGCCTGTTATGACCTGTACTTTGTTTCCCTGACCTTGTTTTCTGCTTAACCCCTTTGTACTGCTGCCTATCGTTTGTGGATCTGTGTTTTTGACCTTATGGCTTGTTTTTGACCATGATTTTGGATTATTCCCTTTGTTCTCGTCTGCCTGGTATTATTATCACAATTGTGATCTGGCTGTTTTTTCTGGATTTGACCCACGCCTGTTTTCTGACCACGGCTTTGCCTGACTATAATAAAACGACTGTTGCACCTTTTATCCGCCAGCGTCTGAATTCTGTTGACTCGTCACAGTAATTTTAATAAACATCTGTAAAATAATACAGGTTAGGTTACAAATTTACCCTGTTAAAAATGTAAAATAAGTAACTCTCTAATAAGAACTGTATGTTCCAGGACGACAGCGTTTTAGGGCCACTGTTAATAAAAATAGAAATAGTAGACTTCGAGAATAAAGTTGGACTATTTAGAGAAAAAAAAGTCATAGAATTACGATATTAAAGTGGCATTAATACCAGGAAAGGTCGCAATAAAATGAGGGGCAGTGAGGAGTTTATTTAGAATATTACAGGAATTACTGTGTTTATCTAGAATAAAGAGCCAGACGGACTTGGAGGAAACTGTCTGTCTGTGTTGTTGAAGGAGAATCTCAGGCAGGGTCTCTACACGGCTATCGGGGGCTACATCTCCCCCCATTCAAAGAGGGCATGAAGTTTCACAGACAGTGAGAATGATGATCAGAATGATCCACAGAGAGACAGGAGTGAGTGGAACTCCGGCGCCAGTACAGCAACCGAGACCCCAGCGCATTATGGCAGCCCCCCTACAGTTAGCCCACTTTATCCTCCAAATATTACGACTTTTTTTTTTTCAAAATATTACGACTTTATTCTCGAAATATTGTTACTTTTTTTCTCGAAAAATTGTGACTTTTTTTCTCAAAATATTCCGACTTTTTTCTCAAAGTCTACTGTTTTTATTTGAATTAACAGTGGCCCTAAAACACCGTCGTAGATCAACAGAGAAAGTGTGTGTGAGAAAAGACTGAGGAGGTTCAGGAGAGAAAGAGAAAGGCGAGACAGCACACTCAGTCTCGCTTTTGATGAATACTGCTGAGAATCATGCTGAATCATTCGCATCAACATCAGTCTTATCTCGGTGTTCTACTGACCAGGCCGAGCGGGACGCGTTCACATGATCCCTGACTTCCTTTTCTTCTCCCGCTCTCAGAAAGATGACATTAATGTATCTGCTCCACTGTTCTGCAGTTTCCTACTGATTGCTAAAAGCAGACTGGGAAATGTGTGAGACAATGCAGCTCAGGAAGCAAATGGGGATAAGGGCTTACTGTAGTGAATGGGAAGTGAAGGTGGAGAGATACAGTAAGCTGTCTGGTAGAACTGGATGAAATATGATGATCCAAACTGTCCATAATAACACTTACTGCTTCATGCTTCTTTGTCTGCACTTCATTCCAGTTATCCTTGTAAACGGCAAGTTTTTATTACTCAGCAACTACTATACATTATTCGTTTACTATGTATGTAATGTATTTTTTACTATGTACGTATTATGTAACAATGATGCTTCAAGGGTTCTTTAGTAATTACCAATGGTTCTATATAGAGCCATGAACACTCTAAGAACTATTTGTATGCTTAAAATATTCCTTGCATTGTGAAAAAGGTTTCAAAAAGTTCTATATTGCACCAAAAAGGGTTCTACTTTTGTTACTATTGTCAAGCTTGTAACAACAGAAGAACGCTTGTAGGTGCTATCCAGAACCCTTTACCAAATGCTCTATATAGAAACTTATACAGCACAAGTTCTCCATCAATCTAAAGAACATTTTCACCTGCAAAGAACCCTTTAAGCATGCAAATGGTTCTCTGAGTATTCATGGCTCTATACAGAACCACTCACTGTCTTTGCTGAAGTACCCTTGAGGAACCATCCTTTTAAGCGTGTAGATTCCTGAAGGCTAAAGGGTTCAAGGGATGTCAGATTCAAGCAGGCTTTTAATACTCATATCCAGATAAATCACACACTGTTAAAAATGAGAGGTCAGCTCAACTTAAAATGATGCAGTAACTGATTACATGGCTTTTCTTGAGTTGGCTCAACTTGAGGACACCAGAGTTCACACAACTCTGAGCTGAGTCAAAAATTCGCCCAGCCACTGTTTTTGGCTCTGCATCTCAGCTAGATAAACAAAACTGAATGTGTTTCTTTTATACAATTCCTCCACTAGCTGGCGCTCCATCTATCACACAGTCCCATCTGGCATGTTTTCCTCTTGGGCTTTTGAATACAGACAGATGTGGTACTGCTGGGATTCAAACGCACAAACTCCTGATGTTGGTCTGAGTTATTAGACAGTTGCACCACATGAAATGCCGCGCATTGAAGTCTACAGAATAAATATTTCCTCCAGTGTTTTAAACACTTACAGACACAAAATCCGAGCTGCTTCATGTGTTCTTGAGTGGTGCAGTGGACTTTTTTATTATTTATTCAGTGGACTTTATTTTATTTACCAAACTGAGATGCAGAACTAAAACATTAAGAACACTTTTGGCTCAACTAAGAAGTTTGAGTTCTGTGAACTCTGGTGTCCTCAAGTTGAGTCAACTCAAGAAAAGCCATGTGATCGGTTGCTGTATCATTTTGAGTTGAGCTGATCTCTCATTTTTAACAGTGCAACACTAAACAGGTTTCACTGCTCCAACACATCTGACTCAGCAGTCAGGTATGTTTCAGCTTTGTGGAATAAGTTATAAAATGTATAATATAGTAATATAGTAATAATATAGAATCTGTGGCCCATTATGAAAAACTAGGCTGCTCTATTTTGCTTAAGGCTAGTTAAGACTAAATTCCCAATATGTCTCAACTGATGAAGTAATTTTGAGTCCTGCTTTATTTAAATACGGTTCATAAACATTAAAAATCGCTAATAGTATGCTAATGCCTTGGTTGCTAGCTAGCTAAATTTCCCATTCCACCTTAAATAGTCCAGCAATACTGACACCTGAAGCGCCACAATGTAACATCTGCTCCATTTAAGGTGGAACAGGAAAATTCCAACAGGAATAGCTGACTTCAGCTTCCCATCACTGAAGAATTAGGGGTGGGCGATAATAAATAAGGCATATGATTCCCTACATGTAACTAAAGCCCAGCAGTGAGGAGCTGAACTTTACCCTCCTCTGCTGTCACTGCAGACTGGCAGGGTCGCCTACAGAGCAGCACTGGTAGCTGTTAATGAAGTAATGCTCTTTTTATTTGAGGGTCCCATTTCTTAGTGGAAGATTTCAACCACTACCCCTTGTAGCTCACTTCCAAGGGGCAAGGTGACACTCGAAAACAAGGGGTAGGGGTAAAAATAAGAAATGGTATTGGGCCTTAGACTTAGGGAAAAGTCAGGGTGGTGTTATGAGGTATTTATTTGAATGTGACTTAATGTCAGGTTAAGCATCTCCAATGCAATTACAGTACTGTCTGGTTTAGCTAAAAGCTAATATATAGACTGACAGGTTGCTTTTACTGCTTACTTTTATGCAAAATAACTAAATATGAATTATAGAGCAACAGGCAAGGGTAAGTCATATGGTCAAAAAACATCAAAGTACTTAAAAATACTTGATATGCATCACAATATTTAGCTTTTCTGAGTTTGGAACGTATAAAATGTGCCAGGAAAACAGCCTCTTTTAAAAAATGCTATTAAAAAAACGTAAAAATAAAAACTGTTTAAGAAGGAGCACAAGGCAAGAACAAAGAAACAAACGGTCAGTAATAAAAGAACAAATAAGATGACGCAGCAATGTCCTGATGCAGCTAGGCAGCTATTACAAACTGGTTGTTTTTGTTTACAAGCTCTCTTAAAGTGCTCTAAATCCATCTTTTTATGATCCCTGAAGTTGATCAGTGAAAAGCATACTTGATTTACCACTATATTTAACCATGTATCCTCAGTCTTTGACGACACATGCTCCTCATCCTCACTCTGTACTGTTTAGCCCTTTCTAGAACCTTCTAGAATCTATTCTGCCTTATTTCAGCAGCATGCCGCAGCGACTCTTCCAACCACTATGGCAGTCGCCTCTGAACCTGCCTTAAGCTCATTTAGACAGAAAGAGCCAGACAAGCACACCCACATTAAATCCCACACCCACGGCATCCTCTCTCCCTCCGACCTCCTCTGCTGTGAGCTGTGCTGCGCCAAATAATGAGGCGGCATCAAAAAGATGTGCCTCCGCTGCCAGGTGGGTTTCTTATTTAGGGGCTGTGAAAGCCAGTCTGCTTACACGAAATCAAAACACACAAAACGAACCCTGACAAGTACAAAACAAGTGCAGACCACTTTCATCCTCGTATGACTTCTGTTCCCTCCTTAACCCCTTAAATTCAAAGGGGGCTGCATGTGGCCCCACGTTCGAGCTCCTCACTCCCGTAACTACACAACTTAGTTTCATAGCAGTATAACTCATCATATTTGCTTACAAATAATCAGTAACTCCTACCTTGAAGGAGAGATGCTTGCTTTCATGCAGAATCATCTCCTCTGATATCACCAGTGTTCTGGTCGGGTTACACAAGTCCAGAGGCTAAAAGAGAAAAAAAAAAATGGCAATCATTAGTAACTCTCTGTCTGTCCTATCATGTTTATCTCAAGCAAAGCAAGTGCAGTAGATAAACTCACGAGTGTCGGTTCCATATTAGAGCGGTGCTGAAAAGAGCAGAGGCTGTGTAGTTAGATAAACTGAACTAAAAAACTTTGCGGTAGCGTTCTTCACTCTGCATTCAAACCCCCACACTTCGAAATGCGCCGCTGGGCCGATGGGCTGTCTGGAAAAGCAGCTCGTTTCTGACCACACTAGGCTAAAAGCGGTGTATACTGTTGCACGAAGAGCAAAAAAAGAGTGTGAAACAGCCACATCCTTTTTCTGGAGGTGGACTAATGCACCGTAGAGGCATGGGGACGCAAGCTAGTGGCATGAGCAGGAAGCGTGGGCTGGGGGACGTTTTCTAGAGACCCTTTGCTTGTGGTTTGTCGCAGGTTAGCGCACAAGAAACGTCTGAAAGTTCTGCTTGCCTGTGCTGAAGAAGGGGCTCACTTACTTCAGTCACTACCGGCCTATCGCCCCGCTAATAAGCCGTCTGCTAATTCATCTGAAGTTAAATTGTCTTTGCAAAGACCTTTAGACATTTCCCTCACGGACATAATAGGGCTGAGCGAAATGGATCGAGATAATCTGCGTGAAATTTATTCAGAATTTAATTTGAATGGATTAGAATCCTACTGATGCCCAAGAAGCCCAACTGAAAAAGTGTTAGCCTTTTCACGCACACAGAACTGTACACAGATCACAACCACAGGAGCTCTTATTTCAGAGTGTCAAACAAGGTCAAATGTCAAACAGAAAGTGTTTAACATTTATGCAGAGGAATCCCCTTCAAAAGAGACAAACAGAATGAAGCTAACTTGTAATGGAAGCTTATACCTCAACATTAACTATCATGCATGACCTGTTTCAAACCACATTAAGGTGTCAAGCCTTCCCAAAAAGACTTGAATATATGGTTTCTAAAACTGTCCAAATCTATAAAAATTGACATAAGTGCATTTCATATCCATAAACACAAGTAAACTGGTAATTCTAAAAACATTAGTGACCTTAAAGCCTGAACTTTGTCAGGACGTTTGTCCATTTTTATAGATAACAGTAGGTCAGCAACCACAAAAGCATGTCTAGTTGAGATTACTTAACAACTTGGTGGTGAGACAGATGTGTAATGAATCAGCCATGTAGTTGCACAGCACTGACTGGTGAGATGTAAGCTTCCACTATTTACCCTCACAGTTCCAAAACTAAATTTAAAAAGCTAATTCCAGGCAAACTTTGGCGTCTAGCTGACATGGTTGAGCGCTGAGGTATCTACTTAAGATTTGCCAAACTCCCACATTAAAATCACTTCACCAATGTCTAAAAAATCAGCAAACATCTAATCAGGTCTTGCACAATATCTCAGTCAGCCAGACAGACAGGAAGGAGGTAAGCAAAAAAAAAGAAAAAAGACTCTAAGATTGAGTTGATAACATATACAGGGATTTCCTAAAAGGCATGAGACTACTGCTGAAAACTTTACCGCAGACAGACAGAGAGACAATGGCTGCTTTTTCCAGAGAATCAGACAACACTGATACCTGCACAAAGATAGGGAAGATGAGTATTTTGGGGGCCACTTTGACGTAGGCCCCGTAGTTGGCGTGTGTTGGGACGTGGGACCTCACAATGGTGCAGTTCTGGTAGTTGGCGAAGTTGGAGCTCTGCTGGAAGGTCCCAGCTGAAGAAGCTTTGGCCTTGCTGTTGGCGGAGCGACGCAAGAAGCTGGTTCTGCTGGCCAGGCTGGGGGCAGCCTGTGCGCTGGACGACTGGGGCTGGGGCACGCTGGCCTGCCTCGGGTACATCCTCCCTGCTACAGCACAGCAGAACAAGAAACATGAGGCTAAGCAGTCCTCTATAATATAAAAGTAGTATGTAAATGTCAGGAGAATATACAATGTGCCTTTATGCAAATCTCATGGACCTGGGGCTGGATTAAGGAAAATGTCCTGAGAAATACAATCTTACAAAGTGTTTTCGTTCAGCTCAGAAAAATAGTTATTCTATGAAAAAAGATGATATATGTAAATAACCTCTGCTATGTATTGTGCTTTATTCAAACAGCAGTCCAGGCTGAGATATTACAAAGTCAGTGAATGTAGAATACGTACACCATTGTACATCAAGTTCAATAGAGAGGAAACAGAAGGGATCCACACTAGAAGGAGTACGCCAATGCACATACACTATATTGCCAAAAGTATCCAGTCGTCTGCCTTCACACACATATGAACTTGAGCGACATCCCATTCTTAATCCATAGGGTTTAATATGATGGCGGCCCACCCTTTGCAGCTATAACAGCTTCAACTCTTCTAGGAAGGCTTTCCACAAGGTTTAGGAGTGTTTAAGGGAATTTTTCACCATTCTTCCAGAAGCGCATTTGTGAGGTCAGACACTGATGTTGGACGAGAAGGCCTGGCTCGCAGTCTCCGCTCTAATTCATCCCAAAGGTGTTCTATCGGGTTGAGGTCAGGACTCTGTGCAGGCCAGTCAAGTTCTTCCACACCAAACTCGCTCATCCATGTCTTTGTGGACCTTGCTTTGTGCAGTGGTGTGCAGTCATGTTGGAACAGGAAGGGGCCAAGCTCCCCAAACTGTTCCCACAAAGTTGGGAGTATGAAATTGTCCAAAATCTCTTGGTCTGCTGAAGCATTAAGAGCCCAACTCCTGAAAAACAACCCCACACCATAATCCACCCTCCACCAAACTTTACACTTGGTACCGTTCTCCTGGCAACTGCCAAACCCAGACTCGTCCATCGGATTACCAGATGGAGAAGCGTGATTGGTCACTCCAGAGAACACGTCTCCACTGCTCTAGAGTCCAGTGGCGGCACTTTACACCACTGCATTTGGCGCTTTGCATTGCGCTTGGTGATGTAAGGCTTGGATGCAGCTGCTCAGCCATGGAAACCCATTCCATGAAGCTCTCTACGCTGTTCTTGAGCTAATCTGAAGGCCACATGAAGTTTGGAGGTCTGTAGCGATTGACTCTGCAGAAAGTTGGCGACCTCTGCGCACTCCGCTAACCCCGCTCTGTCATTTTACGTGGCCGACCACTTCGTGGCTGAGTTGCTGTCACTCCCAGTCGCTTCCACTTTGTTATAATACCACTGACAGTTGACTGTGGAAGTTTTTAGTATTTAGTAGTGAGGAAATTTCACGACTGGACTATCACGGTACCACGCTGAATTCACTGAGCTCCTGAGAGCGACCCATTCTTTCACAAACGTTTGTAGAAGCAGTCTGCAGGCCTACGTGCTTGGTTTTATACATATGTAGCCAAGTGAGTGATTGGAACACCTGAATTCAATGATTTGGATGGGTGAGTGAATACTTTTGGCAGTATAGTGTATGTCCGCAGTCACTAAATGTGTGGGTATAAAGTAAAAGACACAAAACAGAACACATTTAATACCTCTGCCATTACAGTATGACAACTCCATTATGGCTTTGCTATTATTATTATGCTGTTATTCCTACTTATAAGCAAAAGATCTTACCCAGAGTGGCATGGTTGTCTCCATATACTGGTCTCAGAATCTGTAAGATTAGAGAAATAAAGTCAGTAATAATAATGAGCATTGTGTCATTAACACAATGATCCAATTAGTTTTCTGACAACACAACACAAGCTACTGTCCTTTTTGGGAAACAGCTTACTGTCTGAGTTTCAGGGCTACTTAAACCCAGTATGTATCTCATGCTGGCAAAGCCTTTTATTCAATGCTGTGGAATATCATTATGGCACATCTGAACCTACTGACAAAAGTGCTCCTATTGTGCTGAAAATATTGCAATTTTTTCCTGGAACAAACTTGTCACATTCTTGTAGCTCAGGATTTCACATGGGACATTATTCAATGTCATGGGACACTGGACATCAGATATTAGATTATCTGTCACAATATAGCATTGTGTGCAACCTAGTGAGACTGAATGATCTGTTGGGAAGAGTAAGCAGTCATAAGTCTTTGTCCCTGACTGTGCAAAAAACTATAATATGGCAACAGAATCTAAATGTTGCCCAACCAGAAGTTTTGAGTGAAATATATTATATATTATATAAATATCTATTCTTAACAACCAGTAATGAGGGGAATGACACAGGTAAGGTGAACAAAACAGATATAACAACATGGGTAGGACAATTTTTTTCTGGTTGAAACTGCCAGACAAAGCTCTACACAGAATATGTGATGATATTTGCCTGGTCACTCAGTACATCCACTGTGTTTATCCATAAATTAGCTGAAAGAAAAAGAAATTGTATGAAGAAATTGATGCATAAAGCAACACACAGGCCTACTGACATTTTCATTTCAATCAACAATTTTTCCCTCAAGTTTCTCCAAACAGTGCTCAAAGATGAGATCTGACATTCATTTATTAATACTATGATAAAAAGTGACCAGTGACCCCACAAAGCTCCAGACAAGCTACTTCTTGGCTCTGTGCCAGACACAATCCCCTTGGCTGACAATTAGGGAAAGTCACAGCAGAATCGTTTCAGGGTTCGCAACTTGCTCACCTCCGCTCTGACAAACAAACACAGTTATGAGGCCCTGTGGGAGCGATGGAAAGGAAAGGGAGGCAATAACGCAGTGCTGCAAGCATCTCCTGTTGGCAGCAGAGTGATGCCTCCGAATCAGATTTTTAAAGGTCAACATGGCAAGGCTTGTGCGTCAATTGCGTGTGACACACTGGGACACTCCTGACCCTTCCGAGCTGTCTGCTCTACAACCAGACTAATTTGTTTGACAGAATATTTTGTCTCATTTAAGTATTATACATACAGAAGTACATACACTGGTCAGGCATAACATTATGACCACCTCCTTGTTTCTACGCTATGTGTGTTGTGCTGGTACGAGTGGATCAGACACAGCAGTGCTGCTGGAGTTTTTAAACTCTGTGTCCACTCACTGTCCACTCTATTAGACACTCCTACCTTGTCAGTCCACCTTGTAGATGTAAAGTCAGAGACGATAGCTCATCTGCTGCTGCACAGTTTGTGTTGGTCATCCTCTAGTCCTTCATCAGTGGTCACAGGACGCTGCCCACAGGATGTTGTTGGCTGGATATTTTTGGTTGGTGGACTATTCTCAGTCCAGCGGTGACAGATAGGTGTTTAAAAACTCCAGCAGCACTGCTGTGTCTGATCCACTCAGACCAGCGCAACACACACTAACACACCACCACCACATCAGTGTTACTGCAGTGCTGAGAATGATCCACCACCCAAATAGTAGCTGCTCTGTGAGGGTCCAGGGGGCCCCTGACCACTGAAGAACAGGGTAACAAAGTAGTCAGAGAAACAGATGGACTACAGTCTGTAACTGTAGAACTACAAAGTGCACCTATATAGTAAGTGGAGCTGATAAAATGGACAATGAGCGTAGAAACAAGGAGGTGGTCATAATGTTATGCCTGACCAGTGTATATAAAATAATAAGATACCATATGTAAGTATATAAGGCCATGATTCTGCTGCAAGTAGAGCTCTTTTATTGAAACACCAGCAGAAAGGCTCATTCAAAGCACTAAATTCAGGGAGGAGATCACCACCAGCCGTAGGCTTCCACCCTGTAGTGGACAACCCCCAACACAAAACACCCACACCCCCAGATACAATAAAACACAAATAGCACACAACACATCTTGAAAACTAACAAACAATGATATTAACAACATAAATGTCCCTTTACACAGGGACCGTCCCAGTGACCCACCAGCTCGAGCGAAGTCCCTGGGTGCTTGCAGTCCCAACCACCACAAACACCACAAGGTGCTGACTCTTTGGCACTGAGCACCTCAGTCCTGGCCCAGAGCCACGCCCTTTTCGCTGCAGCTTCTTCTGTGTGTGGTGGAACTCCCCACAGAGTGCCACTTCAAGTCTTGTGCAACTGGGGGCAACGGCAGCAACAACGGCACTTCAGGAGTGCTGCTCATGCATGCTGAAGCCCTGACTCTGCCACTGTTGACTGAACTGAGCTGGTCAATGGTCACCTTTCAGCTGATGGATGTGTCTCTGTTCGTCTCTATCCGCAATGCCAGCTTACCAACTGCTCTGCCGCACGCCATGGCGCTTCCACACTGAAGCTGGCCTCCCTCTCACTGGCACCGGCATCGTGCCTCACCTCCGGCATCAAGCTGCGCCATGCTGACTTCGTCATCGAGCCTCCCTGTGCCGGCTTCATCATCAAGCCTTCCCATGCTAGACCCGTCGTCGTGCCTTCCCATGCTGGCTTCGCTGTCTGACCTTCCTGCACTGGCTCTGTACTTTGAGCCTCACAACGCTGCCTCTCTCGCCACTTACCCTGAAGTTCTTTAAAGCGTTGTTTCACTCAGACTCCTGCAGAGCACTTTCCCACTTCTGACACCAGTGTGACATCAGCAAAGAAGAAGAAGCAAGAAACGTTGTGCTTTAAGGCGAATGCTCTTTTATTGAACAGGCTGCAAGGGAGAATCACCACTCAGGGCTGCTCAGAAGGGCCACTCAGTGCTGCTAAAACAGCCAAGATACCAGGCAGGTCACTGTTTGTGGTAGTCACACAGAGCCACACTAACTACTCCACAGCCCAGCAAAGAATGGCACAAATAACACTTGCACATATTTAACAACTTAGTCTCTCCTACTGCGAGTGCAGCGCCTACTGAGAGCCTCTGCATGTGGCCACTCTGCATGGCCAAGTTAGTAGTGGGATGCCACAATATTATATATGTAACTACATACAAATAATAGTAATATATCCTGTATTTATTACCTACCCCTAAACATAACTCTAACCTTCAAGTCAAGACTTAAACCCTGTTAGTCCCAGTGAGCACACACACATACAGGCACACACACACCACACACACACACACAAAGTAGACCTGCTGTGTAGTTTACACATAAGTAGGGTCAAATCTATCAGGGGCAGAAGTGACAAAAATAAGCACTGAACCCTGAAGTGATGAAAATGGGTGTGATTTGATCAGCGGAGAGATGAGCTGACAAGTGACAAGGCAAGAACAATGCTTTGATGTGTGTCCTCGAGCGAAGGGGTTTTGACTGACACGGTGTCGCAAGTTCATGTTAAAGTACAAGTGACAGTTCAGAATAATGAAATCCAGTGAATTCTAAATAAAACATCTCATGCGTTCTTGTCAAGTCAGCGTCTAATCATATCAGCGAAGTTTTTACCATATCACCTCTGACTTTTTCTTAAAGCGCTTGAGTTTTCCTTTTAAATCATCTGTGCTGTCAGGATATAATTTTAGTAATAAGTCAGTATGTCTATCTTGGGGCCCCTTCAATCAATGTGTTTAACACTGAAGCATATCACTGTTGTTCGGAAGAAAACCTCGTATCTCCATTTTTGACGTTTTTCAGTTTTTGACATAATTTGAAAAAACATGTTACCCTTTACATTGCGTGTAAATTTCATGATGAACGGACTAAAAGAAACGGCCCAAAATAGCTTGGAAAAAAATCTGGTTCCATTGACTTACATTAAAAGTAAACTATGTTTTTTCCTTCTCCTGTAAAGTTACCATTTTGGAGATACAAGGTTTTCTTCCGACAACAGCGATATATTAGAATAATAGTACAAAATGTATTCAGGTTTTGTTTGCTTTTCAACCTAATGTTTTTCAGTTAACATCACTTTGGCACTGTCCAAAGGTAAAACAGGGCTAAATAAGACAGTAACTAGTAATGTTTAAGATTTTATGCTACTCATAAAATATCATCCAGCTAAACTACAGATAACCCACACTAAGACTACCTTGAGTCACCAATCTAGATCAATGCATGGCTGTTTTTCAGGTTCTTCTATTATTCCATTTGCAAGCATGTTTGTGGTGTCTGGGCCCTGAACTGCCTCTACAGCACACTGTGTTAATAAGGTCTCGTTCCCCCTGTCATAGATTGGACTCTCTGTTCACACTGTAATAGTGTGAACAGAGGGCCTGCAAGGTCACTGGGTCATCATCAGGCTACAGCAGGACATCCTAATGCAGTATGGAACAAGCAGCTTCTGTTTCAAAAACCAGTGCAGACCAACAAACCCAAAAGACTCCTGAGCTATAGGGCTTACAGGAGCATATGGCACCGAGTTCATTATTTCAATCCATCCACAGAATCCTTGCTAATCTGTCCTGCAGATTAACTCTCTCTTGGCTTTGATGAGCTTCGTAATCTTCAGCTATCACAAATGAATTGTAATTCATTTCTAAAACAAAAAATCAAACGTAGTTTTACAAAGAGGGAAAATTTAATGTGTATTTTTCACACACTACTTGCTGTCACGCCTCCTCCTGACATGGCTGAGCCTATTGCCAAGTCTGCCACTCAGGACTACGTTTCCCAGAACTCCTTGCTGCAGCACATGACACCGGACTCTCAGAGATCCACCCATCCCCATTCCAGATCGCCTGACTTCTAATCACTTGCAGTTCCTTGTTTCTTGTGTTGTTAGTTTAGTATGTAAGCCCGATAATCACTGTAGTCATCAATTAATAAGCCTAAACACCTCAGTGTCACTGCTGGACTGAGAATAGTCCACCAACCAAAAATATCCAGCCAACAGTATCCTGTGGGCAGCATCCTGTTACCACTGATGAAGGACTAGAGGATGACCAACACAAACTGTGCAGCAGCAGATGAGCTATCGTCTCTGACTTTACATCTACGAGGCGGACCAACAAGGTAGGAGTGTCTAATAGAGTGGACAGTGAGTGGACACAGTGTTTAAAACTCCAGCAGCACTGCTGTGTCTGATCCACTCAGACCAGCACAACACACACTAACACACCACCACCACCAAATCAGTGTTACTGCAGTGCTGAGAATGATCCACCACCCAAATAGTACCTGCTCTGTGAGGGTCCATGGGGTTCTTCTTTTTATGTTCTGCTAAAATTCCTTTGTAATGTATGGAAGGTGTCACATAAATAAAGCCTATTATTATTATTACTACTATGTGGGCACATAACCTGACAAATATTACTATAAACCAATCACTGTAGGATAATATTTAATATTTAATACTTTTTTGTTGCTCCTCAAATACTTTACAACATCTAAAAACATTGAAAATTAATGATAATATATTTAAATCTATTATCTATTGTGTAATAACATCTTAATAATACAAGTGATTCTAAAACTTCCTACATTTTGAATGGTAGTTTATTTCAGTACAGAGCACTGACAGTAAGTCAGAGTAAGTCCTAGGCTTACCTGGCTGCCAGGGTTGATTGGTGACAGGATGATGTAATTGTCCCCGTTGGACGCTTTGACGCGGGTCCCTCTCAGAGTTTGTGTGTGTGTCCTGGTCTCTCCCTCCTCTCTTCTGTCGCCCCACGGCACCCCCATGCCTGCAGGTCTGACGCCCTCTGACCCGTTCACCAACACCCTGCGGCTGGCCCGGTGGTGCGCGGGTAGGGGGGGCACTGGGGGAGTCTTTTCTCCTCGTCTATTTTTGGGTGGAGAGATTGGTGTGTCGTAGTTGGAGGGTTTGTAAGAAGGGTGATGGATCAGACCTTCAAAGCTGGACTTGACCGACGGTCCAGTACGCCAGACCACCACTGTAATCTCACTGACACTGTTTCTGCAATGATAGAAAGAATAAAGACGTATAGTATATATACATAGATCAGCCATAACATTAAATCCATCTCCCTGTTTCCACACTCACTGTCCATTTTATCAGCTTCAGCATCTGGTTCTCTGCATACTTTGTTAGCCCCCTCTTACCCTGTTCTTCAGTGGTCAGGACCCCCAAAGGACCCTCACAGAGCAGGTACAATATGGCTGGTGGATCATTCTCAGCACTGCAGTAACACTGACGTGGTGGTGGTGTGTTAGTGTGTGTTGTGCTGGTATGAGTGGATCAGACACAGCAGTGCTACTGGAGTGTTTAAACACTGTGTCCACTCACTGTCCACTCTATTAGACACTCCTACCTTGTCAGTCCACCTTGTAGATGTAAAGTCAGAGACGATAGCTCATCTGCTGCTGCACAGTTTGTGTTGGTCATCCTCTAGTCCTTCATCAGTGGTCACAGGATGCTGTTGGCTGGATATTTGTGGTTGGTGGACTATTCTCAGTCCAGCAGTGACACTGAGTGCTGAGAATGATCCACCACCCAAATAGTACCTGCTCTGTGAGGGTCCATGGGGGTCCTGACCATTGAAAAACAGGGTAACAAAGTATGCAGAGAAACAGATGGACTACAGTCTGTAACTGTAGAACTACACTGTGCTCCTATGTGGTCAGTGAAGCTAATAAAATGGACAATGAGTGTAGAAACACAGAAATTATAAACATTATTATTAACATTATCACCTTCAGCAGACTATACTGGTCAGAGTTTGCAGGCCATCTATGGATAAATCAATGTCCAGCCAACTACCAAAAGCAACAGCAAAGTAAAAAGCTCCAGTTCAGCTCCAGACAAGTTGTAATACAACAATGAAAGCAACAGTCTATTAACGTGGGGAACGAAGCCGCTGTTGCTCTCACTGGACGTTGGTGAGGAAAATAGGAAACTGTTCACTTTATTTACAAACACCATGCGTTTGCGTGATTTTATTTTCTGTTTAAAGTTGAATTATTGACGTAAACAATATATCGCTGATGCCAGAAGAAAACCATCTCCATTTTTGTCGTTTTTTAAGTTTTTGACATAATTTGAAAATACCTGTTGTCCTTTACGTTGTGTGTAAATTTCATGATGAATGGACCAAAAGAAACGGCCCAAAATGACTTGAAAAAAATTCTGGTTCCATTGACATTAAAAGTGAAATATGTTTTTTCCTTTTCCTGTAATCTCCAACATTTTGGAGATAAAAGTTTTTTTTCCGCTAATATGCTAATAAAGCTTAATTAGTCCACTCATATATCTGTAATAAAATGCACAGATTTGTAAATCAAATTAGAACGTAGAACATCAAATTAGATTTTTTTTTCGTGCATCTTCAATATTTTTATTATCCATTTTAACACTAAACATTCTTCAGTCATTGGTTTGGCAACAGCTGATAGTTACAATACAAGACAACAAAAAGAGCTGAGCCTAAATCTGAGAGGAGAGAGAGAGAAACGGAGAAAGAGAGATAATGGCAGAGAGAGTAACAGACAAAAAGAGATAAGACAGAGAGGGAAAGAACAGAGGACAGAAAAATACAGACAAACAGGAAGAGTGCAAGACATGAATGCATGGAGATAGAGAGAGAGAGAGAGAGATTGAGCAAGAGAACGAAAGAGGATGGAAAAAGAGAGGAAGAGAAAAAGTGAGAGAGGTACAGATAAGGAGACGGAGAGAGAAAAAGATCGAGAAGATAGAGCAAGGGAGAGAGAAGGATGGAACGTGAGAGAGAGAGAGAGAGAGAGAAGTGAAAGATGAAAGGCATAGAAACACAAAAAGAGTGAGAGCGAGAAAGAGATAATAATAGGGAAGACAAAGAAGGAGTAGAAGAGATAAATAGAGAGAAACGGTTGGCACATTGTCTTCTTTTATCTTAGCTGCTCACAAAGACTGAGAGAAGTAGCGTGCGTGATGAATGACGGCTAGAAGAAAAGTAGAGAAGGCAGAAGAGTGAGTCATTTATAACAGAGCATTTTGATGATAATCTGAAGTGCCTTCTCCATTTGCCCCAAACCAGCTCTGGCCTTGGTCCAGCATGAGCTGTAGGATCCAAAAACATGACTGACAGCGCTAATAATAATGTTTGAGTATATAAATAAACAAGAGATAGAAAGAAAAAGGAAATATTTACACTACATGTCTAAAAGTTTGCAGACACTTGTTCATTCAATGTTTCTAATGAAATGATGGATATTAATATTTAGTTTGTTCCTGCTTTGCTGCAGTAACAGTTCCAACTCTTCCGGGAAGGCTTTCCATTAGATGTTGGAACATTGCTGTGAGGATTTGATTGAGCATTAGTGAGGTCAGGTATTGACGCTGGACACTCCAACTCATCCCAGAGGAACTGGATGGAGCTCCATCAACTCCAGAGAACACAGTGCTCCACAGCCCAATGCTATACCCCTCCAGCCGACACTTGACATTGAGCATGGTGACCTAAGGCTCAAGCTTGGCTCTTCCATATAGAACCATTTCATGCGTAAACAGTTCTGTGCATGGTGAAAAGGTTCTTCAGACTGATGGAGAATGTATATGGTTCTCTATAGAATCTTTTTGACAATGGTTCTATTTAGCACCAAAAAGGGTTCTGCTATGGTTACGATGTCAAGCTTGTAACAACAGAAGCTTTTTATATACGCAACACATTCTCCATCATCCAAACAACCATATCACCATGCAAAGAACCACTTAGGCATGAAATGGTTCTAAATAGAACTCATGGTTGTGAATAGACCTTTACTAAAGAACTCTTGAAGAACCATCTTTTTTAAGTCAGTCACTGAATGGAGAAATATACGCGCCCTGAATATAAAAACCAATAAAAAAAAACACTCCACAGCTTGTATGCAGTTACACAGCCACCAGAGCAGTTTGAATTATGGAACATGAGCGGAGAATGAGGCGCTGCTGAGACGGCACAGAAACACATTCCAGTAGCCACGAGAAATTATTCACCTCTTATTGTTCAGTTTGTTCAGCATTGTCCTCATTAAGCAAGAGCATCTACTGCAGGTTACTTGATTTATGGGAGACAGAGATGATGAGGCAGTAGCTCAGTGTGGAAAACACACACCTGTATTAACCTAATCTCTATGTGCTGCATCTGCGTCATATGGTTGATTTTTTGCTCTAAAGAAAATTGGCTGCGTTCACATTACCAGGTTGAAGTGGCACAAATCTGATTTTTTGACCTAATGTGACTCAGATCTGATGTTTTCAGAGCTGTGTGGACACAAATCTGATCTTTTCAAATCTGACCTGAACCACTTTCATATGTGGTCCTAGATCAAATACATGTCCGATTCGTGGCCATGCGACCTTAGTGTGACGCTCAGATCGGAATTCATGTGCTTTTTCTCAACTGCGCGTGCGCCATCATTCAGCGTTACCGTGGCAGCAGCGCCGAACAGAAGTTAAAGCCTGTAAACGGTGGAAAAGCGGCTCATCTCACCTTTTTCTCCTTCGTCTCGCTCTAATAATGAAGCTGAGAGCTGATCAGAGTTAATTATCTTCTCAGCGAAGCTCGTTCTGCTCGTTAGTTTGTGCTGATGATGCAGTGATTCATTCAGGTGACGTTACTGAGTAGGATGTGATCATGAGGGTCATTTCAGGACGTCGGTTCGTCACACATTAATGACAGATTTGAATCACTTACCTAAACAAGTGTGAACCATCATGTCAGAGAGATCGGATTTGGGCAAAAAATCGGATTTGAGCAATGAGGCTTGTAATGTGAACGTAGCCAAAGTGAGTGGACAAGTTTTTGCCTGTTGTTACTGGTGGTTATATACAAATGCAGTAAACAGAGATTAGTTTGAAAAACCTTCAAAAATATTTTTAACCAAAACAACCAAAAAAAACTCTTTTTACACTGCAGTGGTTTGCAGTGATTAGTAAGTTCTGTTTGACGTGTATTATTGTCAAAACAGTATAAACAATATTTGACTGACACACTTTTACTGGGACACAGGTCTAGACTGAAGGCAGGCCAGTCTAGCACCCACATTCTCTGATTGTGGTACATGCAGCCACATTGTTGTAACACATACAGAATGTGGCTTGATGCTGTATTGCTGAAATGAGCATGGATGTCCTTGAAGAAGACGTCATCTAGAAGGCAGCATATGTTGCTCCAAAATGTGCATCAATCTATCAGTGTTATTGGTGCCTTCACAGATGTGCCATGGGCACTAAGGCTGTGTTTAGACTGCCAGCCCAAATCTGATTTTTGGCATATCCAGATTGTACCCAGATTGATTTTTGATAGTTTGGACAGCTAAAAAACACATGAAACATTTACAGATGTGCCTCAGTCTGGACACTCTGGTCGCTCAAATTGGATTTCAACATACCTTTTGCGTGACTTGCAATGCAACAAACAATGACAATGTCAAATCCAGAGTGACGAAATTGCTGGGATTCAAGCAGCACCAAAGATTTACGCTTACGCCAGAGAATTCTGAAAAGATTGGAGGGGAAGATGATGTACCTCCATGTCTCCCGCATCCGCGTTTAAAATGTGTGTTGCCAGCGAATAATCAGGTCTCAAATCGGATCTTTTGAGACACTTGAAAAACAAATCTGATTTGCCTGCAGTCTAACCACATCCCCATAGCATGACAGACCCTGGCTGAACGAGCATATAGATACAAAAAGCAACAAAGTTGAAAGGATAAAGCATTCAGTATCTGGTCTTTGTACTGTTTCTGTTTAAACAGAGGTCAAACAGATTCACAAAACTGCTTCTTTGTTTTATTTACATTTCACTTACCATCCCTTTCATCTTGAGGTTTATGCTTTTTCAAATAAAAACATTTTATTTTGTCAAAGTGACTGGCAAACTGACCTCATAATGTCAGAATATTTGTGTTGTGCTATCATCACAGGCCCCCGCCAGGACTACAAAGGATTAAAAAGAACACAAACACACGTACACAAACAAACACATGCACACATGTACCTGATGGCATGGGCCAGATCTACACACTTCCACTGTTCCACAGGCTGACCATTTAACTGCAGCAGAGTGTCCAACTGCTGCAGGCCAGCCAGATCCGCAGGACCACCTGAGAACACACAAGTGCACACACACACACACAGTAAAACTCAACAGGCCATGAGATGTCCACTAAACAGCAGTGTTAAATGATCCATAAGGTGGCATATGTGCACACCCTGCACACACGCACATACACACACACACATACACACACACACACACACACATATACACACACCCTCATGGGCTGGTTCCTGATAAAAGAAAGACTCATAAATCTTCCCAACCTCTCTTTAATGCACACACACACACACACTATCACAATATCACAATAACAAGTTTGTTAAATGGACATAGAACTCCGAGTGTGTTTACATGCACTTAATAATCCGATAACTGCAGAAAATCAGATTTTGTCAGCAATTCAATCAAACATTTACATGCTCTTGAGTAATCAGATAATGGGAAAACTCCTGGTCTACCTGAGTCAGACAGTACTCAGATTTCTGCTTTGTAACCAGCCAATAAACTCATAGAAGAAGATGTGATGTAAACATAATGTGAAACTCAAACTTCATGCCGTGTTTTTTTTAAAACATTGCGCCACTTTACCTGATAAACATACATCATCTAGCAAATGAAGAATATTTATACCCTTCATTTCGTGTTTGGTTTCAGCGTCACTCCAAAAGTGAACTCTGAAGAAAGAAATCAGAGTAACATGCAGAGAAACCTGATTACTCAGCTAAAATCCAGCTCTCTTTATCAGATTTCTTATTCAGATTTCTAGATCGGAGTATGTAGTTTACATGAGCATTTGAATAATCAGATAACTGCAGAAATCAGATTGTGATTGGATTATTGAGTGCATGGAAATGCACTCAATGATGTTAAATGATTAATATCCCACCCGCACAATTCCATCAAAGTGAACTGACATCCAATATTCGATCTAAGTCCATTCACAAATACATTATTCTCTGCTGAAATAACACGGCAGTCAAGGTCATCAGGCTCACTGTGAGTAACTTTCCCAGTAAACACAAAGCAGGAATTAAACCACAGAGCGGTTATTTTTGGTGTTTTGCTGGGCAACTGTGGCCATCAGACTGAAGGCTCTGCCGTCTCTATACGCTACGAAAGTTTGCATGCTGTTCACGTGGTTGGCTGCTTCGCAACTCTTTATAACAACTTCATTCATTTTAATTGTTTTACTGTTATCCTTTTATATTATTTATATATAATTTAGTGATCGTTCTACTTTATTTCCGCTATTCATTAATTTGCGGGATTTCCCTTCATGCATGCTTCGGCCCGCTTCCGCCTGCCGTGGGCTGGTTTCCCGCCCACTCCTGCACACAGCACTGAAAATTAGTCCTATCCCACAAGAAATTGCGGCAGGTCCTGCGGGAGTGCAGACCTCTAATGCAAAACACTCATCATATACCGTGTAGCAGTCTGTTCACTTACTGCTTTTTGTTTTTTTATTGACCACTATCTATTGACCACTAGTTGACCACTACTAGTTGACATCTACTTTTTGAATAACTGGTTGACTAGCAAAATGAACAGTCGTACAAACCCTTTGACACAACAACAATTAGTAACATTCTAAACACACAAAAAATACATTCAAAAACAAGACAACTTGTATGAACAACCTCTCTCTCTCTCTCTCTCTCTCTCTCTCTCTCTCGCAGACACACAGACACTCAGGCTGATATGCAGTGAGTTCTTGCCTGGATCCACAGCTTGTACTCGTACAGGTGAGTCAGAGCAGATGGTGAAGCCATAGCCGTCCTTTCCTCGAAGGATGGTCACCTAGACAACACATACATACACACAGGTATGAATATACTGTACTGCCACCTGTTGGACATCACAGGCTGTAACAGGTGATATCTCAATTACAGTGACAACCAAACCTCACTAAGATCCTGTTATCACTGTGTACTTGTAGCAGCTGGGTCAAAACTGGTTTTCCCAGTGGGAAAATTAGTTGGAATTTTCAAAAATCACCTCTATCTATCAAGTTTCAAAGCCAATACGTTTTGTCCTGTGTACATTTTTTATTGAATATCACTGTGATTTGAATAACATCTTTCAAGAAGAATTTTTTTACCTATGTGCTCGGGACTACTGCACATTTAACTGAAACTTCACCAAAATACCCAGAGCAAACCAGGAAACTTTGTCAGGTATGGGTAGTAAAGAGCCCATGTCCCATATTTTTCTTGTATTTTATTTTTTTATCCTGAAGTCAACTGCGGTTTTATGCACCAAAAAATAGTCATCATGTATCATTTTCCAAGCTTTATCCTTTAAAATTAAGCAGGTTGGTTAAGTTACTGTGCCTATAACATGAATATTTAGTTCTGTCCTGTTTGGCTCCTCTACATTGTGCCTTATTGGGCAGAGTTAAACTGCTGTAGGCTGAAAAGGTCTATATACACAGATGAGCCAAAACAGTATGCCTAATATGCTGCACCGCATGCTGCCAAAACAGCTTCAACACAGCGAGGCATGGACTCTGCGAGACCTCTGAAGGTGCCCTGTGGTATCTGGCACCAAGACGTTAGCAGCAGATCCTTAAAGTCCTGTAAGTTGCGAGGTGGAGCTGCAATAGATCAGACTTGTTGTTCCAGCACATCCCAAAGAGGCTCGATCAGACTGAGATAAATATGGAGGCCAAGGTAACCTTAAACACCCCTAGGAAACATGCACACGTACCCAGCCATCCACATGATATAAAAAAGATAAACAACTCACTGGACCAAGCGACCTTCTTCTATTGCTTCAAGGTCCAGTTCCACACTTGTGTGCGCATTGTAGACGCTTTCCTTGGTGGACAGGGGTTAGCATGGGCACTCTGACCCAGCTGCGGCTAAACAGCCCCATATGCAGAAGAGCACGACACTGTGTTGTGAAATATTCCTCCAGTAACAATCATAAAAATTTTTAAGACTGTCCCACAGTAGCCCTTCTGTCAGTTCAGGCCAGACAGGATAGTCTTCATTGCCACTGCACAACGATAAGCCTTGGGCACCCAACACCCTGTCCCCAGTTTGACTCTCTTCTGACCCTCTTCTGACCACTGCCGGTAGGTACTCTCCACTACTGACCTTAGAAGCCTTGTCATTTTAGAGATGCTCCAACCCAGCTGTCTGGCCGTAATGCTCAGGTCTTCATGTCAGCTCATTTTTCCTACATTCAGTGAATATACTACAAGAACCAATGGAACTTACGGTTTAATACATCCTCGAACTTGACAAGCCATTATATATTTTTAATAACTGCCAACGTTCTTCACTTCATCTCCGTGTTGATAAAGTTGCGGCTCATCATTTTATATAAATGTGTGTATATGTGTATGTAACTAAGTGGATTATGTTCCTATATTTAACGGCTGTTTTGACTGGAAATTAAATCAGTGAAGGGTGGTCTCTGACTTTTGTGCAGCACTGCACACACCAGGAACGTCTGACTCTATAAAACCTCATACACATTTTGTACACATAATCATAAACATCACAAAAGGAAACTCAATGGCTGTGTTTACATGTAAGGATTTTTGCCCATCCGATTGCAAACATTCCGATTATACCTTAAGACTGAGGTGTTTATGCTCACTTTACTCAACAATCTGATGGAAAATCTCTGTTTACATGCTCACTACAAGTAATCAGATCTAAAATTATGCACATGCGCAGAGAAGCACTCAGTGTAGACGTTACCATGACAACAAGCATCACGTGAGTCCAGTCAGAGTGAGACGAGCAGCAGTGAGCAGTGCTTGTGTTTTTAATTGCTTTAAAATGATGTCAGACTCAGGAAAACGTCCTTCACATGTCCTTATTAAAGAAGGCCGAGAGGAAGACGTCGTGTTCTGAGACACATAAGCTGGATGTCCGTCCCACCGCCGTCTTTTAAAGATCAGAGCGTAAACTTCGTCTCCTCTGCAGACCAGTTTCTGCTCCAGCCATGGTGAATGTTATAAACTTTCACTATGATGCGGCGAACATGATCAGAACGGACTTAAACTTTCCGATAGGGAATGTAATCAGATACAGGCATTTATACAGTTATTATTCTTCTATTTAACGGTTTATTTACAGGATTACCCACCTCGATCAGATAGAAACTGTATTCAGAATGGCCTCAATCGGACTAGTCTATTCTGATTAAGGTGTATACATGGACATGTTCTAATCCTATTGAGCTATTTGTTGGATTATTAACGGATTATTAGGCTGCATGTAAACGTGGCTACTGAGAAGTCGCACACACACATACAGCATCTGACTGTGAGCAATATGCAGCGTTATAAGCGGATCCAAGCATCAACCTCGGTTACATAAGCCATTATCATATGCCTCCCACAAACACACACACACACACACACACACACACACACACAAACACACACACACACACAAACACACACACACACACACACACACACCCACACACACTATGTAACATGGCCTAAAAGAAAAGCACAGTCACATAGGGGAAAGCAGGACACTGTTGGACACATCTGTGTCTGCCTCAAGGCCGCACACGACACACGGACAGACACACTAGGCCTGTACAACATATCATACGACAACAGTTATCGCGATATTAGCCTGCAATATCGATATCACAGAAGGTTGCAATGTGCAAATGGCCCCTCAAACCAATCATGTGTTGCTTTGTACAGTGTGCCGTAAGAATTCTGACCAATCCGAGACATTCTTTGAGTGAAGAATCAAGCCATTCACATGATCCACCAATGTTAAATTATTTGCAGGCGAATCTTAGTGATTTCACTACTGTGTTTGGAATATAAGGCGAATGAGTGTATCACAATTGTAATATGTGGTAGTATTCTTGCGATATGGTGTTCCATTTGTATTGTGCAGCCCTAACCAGGATACTCAACCACTGCCCTAAGCCATTAATATCCATAGCTATTTTTTAAATTCCTTTGCTGAAACATTTTTTTTTCCAAAGCGATCCAGACATATAGCTAAAAAGTTTATTTTTATTACATTATCACAGTCTTGTGTTCAAATGGGCATGTTTTTTAACAAAAAAAAAGAAAATCCTAATGTGGTTGTAAATAAAAATACTGAAATTACATTTTGACAAAAACTAAAATGGCATAAATGGTTTATTCAAGGCACAACTATCGCTGCTGTCAGAAGAAAACGCAGTATCTCCAAAATGGTGACTTTACAGGAGAAGGAAAAAACCTACTTCATTTTTAATGTAAGTCAATGGAACCAGATTTTTTTACAAGTCATTTTGAGGCCGTTTCTTTCAGTCCATTCTTTATGTAATTTGCACACAATATAAAGAGCAACAGGCATTTTCAAATTACATCAAAAACTGAAAAATGACAAAAATGGAGATACAAGGTTTTCTTCCAACAGCAGGGCTATAAAAATTTTTACCACTTTAGATCAATCAAAAATGTATATTTTTTCCTTATTCCAAATTTTGTTTAATTCTGCTTCAAAATACACTCTGTCTATTGCTAAAGTGATCATTAGCATTTGTGAACAGTTGGTAAAACCTGGATAAATATTTCTCACCTAAAAAATCACAATGTGACTTTTTTTCTAACATCATTCAGCCCTAATATTTATATACACATATTCCCCAAAGAGAGGAGAGTCTCATAGAAATGCGATGAGGAAACGTCCACAAAACACACTCACACCTACTCACCCACCCAGCCCCACACACACATTCAAATAATGCCGCTCAGCGTGCCAAAACTAACATTGTGCCCCGGTACAAAGAAAGAATTTCCAGCTCATCTGCTGAGCAGGGATATTACTTAAAGCCCTAGAGAAAAAGTAAGCATTCCAGGTATGAAAAGATGAAGGAGAGGCAAAAAAATAAAGCACTGCAGTTAGAAAGAATATCTGCAAAGCTGCCTTCCAGCTTTATTTCTCTGCCATTACCTCGAGACACTTCTCATCTGCATTTTCAGCTTTGTATTTCTGAGTTCTGTACTATTTCAGCACATAAACTCACTGACCACTGGAAACGTCAACTTTGTACTTCCACTTTGTTAGAAACACCTACCGTACAGGTTCAGACTGTAGCCTATCTGTTGCTGAACAACATCTCCCGCCCCCTATTTGACTGAATGAGATGGGTAATCTTGTAAATAAACCGTTAAATAGAAGGATAATATCCGTGTAAATGTCTGTATCTGATTACATTCCCTATCGGAAAGTTTAAGTCCGTTCTGATCATGTTCGTCACTTCACAGTGAAAGTTTATACCGTTCAACATGGCGGAGCAGAAACTGGTCTGCAGAGGAGACGAAGTTTATGCTCTGGTCTTTAAAAGATGGCGGTGGGACGGACGTCCAGCTTATGTGTCATGTGAAGGACGTTTTCCCGAGTCTGACATCATTTTAAAGTGATTAAAAACACAAGCACTGCTCACTGCTGCTCATCTCACTCTGACTGGACTCACGTGATGCTCACTGTCATGGTAACGTCTACACTAAGTGGTTCTCTACGCATGCGAGAAATTTTGGATCAGACTACTTGTAGTGTGCATGTAAACGGAGGTTCTATAATCGGAATGTATTCAGTCGGACGGGCAAAAATCTTTGCATGTAAACACAGCCAGTGTCACTATTGAGAATAGTCCACCAGCCAAAATAAACCGGACCAGAACCAAAAACTGAACCATTAATAATGGACCAGATGATGGCCAATACAAACCATGCATCAAGAGATGAGCCATAGTCTCTAAATACACACCAGCAAGGTGGAGCTACTAGAGAGGAGCTTCTAATAGAGCTGTGAGAGAAG